TATCTATCTATCTATCTATCTATCTATCTATCTATCTATCTATCTATCTATCTATCTATCTATCTATCTATCTATCCTCTCTCTGTTACAGTAGATACTCGTCTTCAAGCTCAACATCCACACTTTCTTATCACATTCCACCAAAACCTGCATGAATTAGGACCTGGCCTGTTCCTGTCAGAGCTAACTGGCCAATAACACTCGTCCTCCTGTTGGAGGCCCAGAGGAAAACTATCGAAGCTCTTTGCTAACTGAGATCCTCCGGGAGCTTTGACTGTGAGAGCCCAGCTGCTTTATTCTGCTGGTGACCAATAAAAGTCATATTTTTACTCTTGATCCGCTCTGGTTTATTCTCAGGCTTCCAGCTAAAGAACCAAATCTAACAGATTGTAAAAAGAACCCCAGAAGAAGAGCTGTCAGGTTTATGACAGCTAACAATCACCATCCAGATAATAAAACTCCACTGGCTGAGGAAGGAACCCCAGATTACTGTCAGCAGGCACAAAAAAACAGATTGTGTGTCTGAAAAGTGCCCGGTCAGCAGAAATACAGGATCTATCACAGGAGGCTGGACGGTCCCACATAAAAACACATAAAAACCCACAACAAGTGGACGAATGAGCTCTTCCTCCAGCACAGACCTGGAAAAACCGTAGTATGTCAGGATGGGACTCAAATGGAAGCAGACCAGCTAAACCCTTGTGTTCATATTGTTGTTACTCAGCCAGTGTTTGTGGGTCTGACGGACCCGTTGCATTTTGTGGCTTTTAATTGATCACAATCAAACACTTTTATATTAAAATACTGAACAGATGTTTACCTTATCTTTTCTTAACTTCTCTCTCTGTTTCAAAATCAATTTCCAGGGCCTCTGGGCAGAAAACCTTTTGATCGGTTATAAGAAACCACTCTGGCAAAGCTGGGCCAGTGTGGCCCCGCCCCCAATTTTTAGCAGATAGACAGAAAATTAGAGCAAATAAAATAATTTGTGGGAACAGTTTCTTTTGTGTTTGTGCACCTACAGGTCCCACACAAGGTTGTGAGTGCGTTTGTGTGTGTGTGTGTTTGTGTGTGGTACACAGAACATCAATTTCCACACTTCTTTTAGCCCCGGGTCCAGTCCCTCTACCTCTATCTCTCTCTCACCACTGACTCTGATCAGGGTTTCTCCTCTGGATAGCTTATTGTCAAAGTGATGAGAAATGGAATATTGGGTCTACTCTGTAAGTCGCTTTGGATAAAAGCGTCTGCTAAACGCACAAACAGAAACAGAAACACATAAACACTGGGAGCAGAGCCTCACTTTTCTTGCACATGCTCAGTCCAGGTTCCATGTGTTCCAGTTTTGCTCCGGACCCTCGTGGGCTCCAGCTAAGTGGAGTCGGCAGCCATGAGCTGACCTTAAGGACCGTCTCCTTCTGAGCAGAATCACATTCAGCAGATCTCCTCCCCCCTGTCCTCGGGGGGCTAAAACACACTGGAACTGGCGCTCTGTGTGGATGTCTGCTCCT